AGGATAGACTGAAAGGAGGTAACAGATAAAAACAAAGTATATTAGTGAAAAAGGAAGAAAAATCAGTCAACGAATCAATGAACAATAGACTACTAAAACAAGGATACGGAAAGATCCGACATATCACACTGCATGAACGGGATACGAAATCGACGAAAATACTGGCTATATATAGTGAAAATACAGGAAAACGCAGGATTATAGATCACCGATATCACGAAATAAAAATAATGAACAAGAGATTTAAAGAATGCAGGATTGATGAAAACTTTTTATATTGATTAAGCAGACTCGATGGAGACCAGGGAACAACAAAATCGGCAAAACAAGATTACTATATCAAGGAAACATTTTGAATATGAGAAAGATAAATCGCAAGGCCATAAAGAAACAATTTTAAATCAAGAGTCTACAATGAACTTAATTAAAACATGTAAAACCACAGCATTAATGGGTTGGCATTTAAGAGACTAGGACATAGACTTGGCATTATAACGATAGATAGGAAGAGACTAGAAATAGTTGGCTAACAATACGCATGTTTAACCATAGACGCGGTCGGTGAAATAAAGTGATCATGAGATTTACCCGATACACATGCCGTACACTGATAAGGATATCTGTAGCCTCAAGTAAGTTTCCCATCCAGGTTGGGAATTTAGACTTTGAAGGTATGTTCAGTGAGGCAGAAGTATGCGTGCAATCAAGGCTATAGGCAGTATAGAACATAACACCTCGGGTAGCACAGATATGGTGACAGTGATCGAGTTAAGGCCCTAAACCAGAGAGATAAGACATCCTACGGAGGAAAAGAGGGGCTCTGATAGTACCTGGAAGAAAAAGACAACGGAACAATAAGGCAGACTCTGATCAACACGCTTAGCATAGACCGGAAATGAGGAAGAAAGTGGGAAGTATGAATATGTCCTAAATCCACTCAAAGGGTACACAAAATAAGGCTTAAATAAGCAAGTAAGAAATTGTGGCCGTGACGATGTGTTAAGAGGATATAGGATAGGTGAATGTACCAGGACATGAGAAATACGACAATTGTTTAGCAGACAATTAGTTAAACGATTGATTTGTTTTGTCCCTTTGTAGTGTGGTGCTAAAAATGGTAAGGCCCAATGACGGTGCCAGCGAAATGTCTGGGAATGTACCAAGTCCACGATCCGACTCTGGAAAGTATCATGCATACTATGGAATCCGGACAAGATGCGTTCCTCTGGGTCTTCCTGAAAATACGATCAAGTTGAAAAAGCAAGGTCAACAAACGTCTATACAAAGAAAAGCCAGATCAGATATATGAAGACCAAAATGGTGTGGCCTTCTCCTTGGTGCAAGTCTCCTTTAGCTTTATAGTGTTGGTTCGGCCTTGCTTTAGCAACTTGATCAGAGCGCCAGGAAGAACTTGCGGAACGTACCTGGTCCCGTGTCTTCTGCCATAGTATTCGTGATTTCCAGCATTGAACAATTGGCTGATTACATTCCCAAACGTTTCGCTGGCATCGTCCGTGAGAGGCGCCATCGTGAGTACAGTTACAACTTATCATTGATGGATTATAAGAGATAAGAAGTTAGACAAAGATCCAGTCATTAGATTGGAAAATTTAGTTACGTAAGGTACATAATTTAAATGTAATAATAAATAATGTAATAAAACCCGAGGTTTAGTTATTAAATCGAATTTAACTCTGATTTAAGTTAATAATTATATGATCATGCTGGAGATGTATGGAAGACTACTCTACGGTTTGGCATAATGGAATAATTCCTTAAGCTGAGTAGACTCAATGGTATTACATTTA